GACGGCGTTTCAGGGTCTCGGCCGGCTCTTCTGCCAGACCGCACTTACGGATCCCGGCTTCCTCCACCACCTGAACGTAGCTGTGGGGATCTGGACCCGCTCCTCCTGCTGCTGCTCGATAAGGCCGCCAAGGCTGCTGTCACACATGGCAGGGAGAGAGAGGGGAAGGAGCCCTCTCTCTCCCTTCAGCGTTTACCACATATGGCCAATGCATATATGATGAATGATGTCACAGGGGATCCCTGCTGATCGGATGCTTGCCAGTCTGCAGGGATACCCAGTGACATCATTCACCATATATGGACTGACTGTGCTGTACACTACACGTGTCGTGAAGTAGGCGGGACAGATGAGGAGGAGGGAGGGGATCAAGAGCTACACAGCAGCTGTCTTGAAGGCTGGCACACGGGGACGTGCAGATAAGAAGAGAGCTGCTGCGCATGTCCATAGATTCGTGGACGCGCAGCAGCTCTCAAGAGTCACTGTCAGTCACAGTGAGGAAGATCAGTGGGGAGGATCCCGTCAGACACGTCGGGATGTCTCCTCATTGCGGCGCTTAGCCCCGCCCACCACCTTAAATTAGGTTTTACAGCCTTATTGTGCATTTTGGCTAATTAGAGTAAACTACATAATTTACTTATTTAGCCTAAGGAATGCATTAATAAAGAAAAGATAGAACCCCATAGTTCTCCTTTAAAGAAGAACTCCAGGCAGAAGAAAACGTAACCATTTCCCCCCCCCCCCCGCATTGCAAGAGTTAAGTGCTCGTTTTTGTCTAGGGTCTACAATAGCAAAGATATACTCACCCGATCCTCAAACCCACCTAACTGCGAGACTGGTCCTTGCAGCCTAAATGAAGCAAAAGCTTCATTTATTGAAGTTTTTTGTCATATGACCAAAAAACCTCAATAAATGAAGCTTTTGCTTTCTTAAAAGGATTGGTGTGCTGGTGACATTTCTACAATTTTGCTGACATTCGCGGCGCCATCCGCGGTCACTGCGAGCACCCCCCACTACAAGGGACATATCGGTAAGGAGTGCGACAAGGATAGTACTTATGGTCCTTGCAGCCTCTCACGCAGCTCCAGCGGTCTATGATCCTGAGAGTCATCACGTCTTACACAGTGTATTAGGCACGAGGACACCAAGGGGCATTCAATTGCCAGAGCAGAGGGGGGAGAGAGAGGCCGTAAGGCCCGGTCTTGCAGCCAGACAGGACCGATGTTTTGTTGACTATATCTGCAGTGCCACACAAGATGAGGTGATCCCATAGCTGGATAGCAGGTATATTGTGGTCCCAAATAATATTGGCTGCAAAGATGCTATGCAAATATTGGCTTTTCTGAAAGCTGATATTTGTATGCAAGTAGACACTCCCTACTCCATAGCTTACACGTTGCTTCACACCAGAAAATTTGGGTATTTTGGTGTCCAATGTGGCTGATCAGGACTACAATCAGGCATTGTGTGGCACTGCAGAAACTGTTGGCGCTATATAAATCCTGTATAATAATAATAATAATAATAATATATTCTAAAGGGTGAGTGCTATGCAGTTGTGGAAGCACTTTGCTTTGTAACCTTCTGGTAAATAAAAGGTTGAAAGTGGAAGTACATATTGCTTTGGTTGTATTACCAAATAATCTATCGGAATGATTAAACTGAATAATACTGTACATTTGAATTACCTTTATGATTCTAGACAAATATACCTCTCTACAAAGTATTACCACTTTACCATGGTTACTGTATGTATTATTTTACAGGATACGTTAAGGATAGTTACCATAGTACATGACACGTGTGGTGTTAATTACACTTTTGGGGTGCCTGGTCTTCTTGGAGCTTTGGCCTATGCACTTATCATCCTTGTGGCAGACTATGGATTATTTGGATTGTAAGTATAAGATGTATAGAACAGCTTTCTTTGAAATATTTTCATTGTGTTACAGGTTCTTTCTATGTATTTGTAGGTACATATTTTTTTCAACATACATGGTCCAACACAGGGATTGGCAACCTCAGCACCCCAGTTGTTGTGGAACTACAAGTCCCATGAGGCATTGCAAGACTCTGAGCCACAGACATGACAGAGGCATAATGGGATTTGTAGTTTCACTACAACAGGAGTGCCAAAGTTGCCTAAAACTGGACTAACATATAACTAGTAAATATGCTAAAAGATGTTTGCAGCAATGGTTAGTTTGCATGAGAAAAGACTAAATAAAACTACTAACAAAATAACTGACAGTTCTTGCCTGTTCTGTGTTATATTTAATATGGGTCTTTATTATATTTTTCATAGTCCCATTTACCAAGCGTTGGTTGGTGTTGGTTGTATTCTCCTAACGTTGACGCTTAGTCTGGTTGGTGGACTTCTAACAGGTCAGTACAAGTATTGTTCGTTCCGAATTGAAAGCTGTATGAACTTTAGGAAATTCGGACGCATCCGAATTTCCGAATGAAGAAATAACGAATTCGAACATAAATTTCCAATAATGAAATTTCAGATGCATCCGAATTTTTTTTCTGAATGCCATTCGGAATTAACTTGTGTTGCTACTTCGCCCCCCCCCCAGCGAACTCATACCAGACCCCTTAGGTCTGGTAGGAATTTTAGAAGGGACCCCAACGCCAAAAGAAAACAAAAAATGAATCATGTCGAGGGCATGTGGCTTGGTAGGGTGGACGCTCATTTTCGCCCCCCCCCCCTTGCTGCTGTGCCAGTCTGCTGCTCCGATCAAGGGATTGGTAAGGGACTCCTTACCAAACTCCTCTATCTATCCACATTTATACACACAGTGAAAGGGATTTATGCATTTCGTATGAAGGGAGTTGTTGATTGCTCATGCTCATGACTAACTAGGGGGAATTTATCAAAAACTGGATCAAACAAAATCTGGAGCGGTTGCACAGCTGCTGTAGATTTTGTCTGCTCCAGTTTTTTGAGCAGACAAAATCTAGAGCAGCTGTGCAACTGCTCCAGATTTTGTTTGCTCCAGTTTTTGATAAATTCCCCCTAGTTAGTCATGAGCAATCAACAACTCCCCATAGTCAACCCAGATAATACGAAATGCATATAAAATCATACCATATGGATAGCAAAACTCCATATATATAATAATCATTATACTTAAAATGATAAAGTAATGAATGACAAGTGTACAGCCCATGTGAAGCACATTCATAGTTAGCAGGTGGAAATTTGACTGTCCTCCGTCGTGCCAGGCCCTTCTACTGGCTCCAAGCAACTGCCCAAACAAAAACGTTGCACACAGAAAGGTGTCTTCTAAAAAAGATCCACATTGGGAACCATACTCACTGCACTTAACAGCAAAATCTATGTTGGATAATGTTACAGGAACAGTGACAAAAAAAGGACATGCAGGAAAATATTGTCTTTTAAATTGTCTATATCTGTTAAAATGTGACCCATGTTGTCTACATTTTCAGCTTTGATAGGAGTTATATCTCATTTGCATTTCTGCAATATCTAATTTGCTATGTTGGATCTTTAATGTTTGTTTCAGAAACTGTTTTTACTAGAGATGCACCGAAATAGAAATGTAAAAACCGAAACGAAACCGAAATAGAAAAAATTGTCAGGCCGAAACCGAAAATGTTTTTATTTAAATTTTTTTAAATATTTTTATGTATAAACTTTTAATTTTTTTTATATTTAATTTATTAAATGAACAGGAATCCTCTATACTGGGTGTTCCTGTTCATTCATAACATGAGGACAGAGTATGTTTATTATAATCACAATCATGAATGAACAGGAAGTGATGTAGGAGGGGATGTAGATCACTTCCCATTCATTCATAATGGAGGATATATTAATCATACCATATCCTCAATTATCTACAAACACTCAGCAATCACTGATCGCTGAGTGTATGTAGCCCACTCTCCTCTCTGACACACGCTGTCACAAGAGGCTGAGCGAGCGGTGCGGGAGGAGAGCCCAGCCTCCTGTGACAGCGCTGTCTCCGCCCCCACACCGCTCTGCCGCACTGTGATAGGAGAGACACCGGCCGCTCACAGCGCTCTTGTCCCGCTGCGCTCGGCCGGCTGTCACTTTCTCTCTTCCACGCTGGGACACAGAGCAGCGCCCAATGGGGAGGAAAGAAATCACGGATGCGCCGATGTATCGGCAGGAAAATGGCACTTTCGGCATTTAGCCAAAAGTGCCATTTCCGGCCGATATGTTTCGGAGGCCGATATATCGGTGCATCCCTAGTTTTTACTTTATTCTCTTCTGTGGACTACATGTTATGTCTTGGCAAGCAGCAGTAATGGCATGTGCTTCTTGCAGGGAGATCTCCTTTGAACACAATTACCTGATCTACCAGTAGAGTCAGAATAGGCCACTGCACAATGGGCTTTTCTAACTGTATTGGTGGTTCAAATATTTGTGTCAAATAACTGTGGATACACTCATTTAGATTGCTGTTGTGGTCTTCACATGAAATCTCGCCTTGGAATATTATTGCAAATTTATTTATACAACTTTTGTCCAGCGGATAGCACGACACTAGTGTCCCTAGATGGCGCTGAAGAGTAGTTCCTATACTCCTCAGTGTCATCTACGGGCAACACATAGAAAGATGCCACTGTTCCTTTCTGGTGTTTCATAGTGCCCAGTGCAGAGAGAAAGCGGGTGCTCGCCCAAGGAGCTCTGCACCCTTCAAATGTATTTAATCCCATAGTCACAAACAGCCGCACACTGATGCCATCACTCCAGTAAAATCTACTTTATAGGCTCCAAAACATGCCACTCAGTCCATTCTTTGTTCTGCTCCACTCGTTCCAGCACAAACAGGCTTAATCGTACAAGCGTCAGTGCCTGCGAGAATGGCATCTGCCCAGCTTTATGCTGGGCGGAAGTTTTAGAAATAAATTTGCAAGTGTCAATATATTCTTAACGATTATCCCCAGTGAACAGGATTAAATAAAATAAGATGATAGACCTTGTTTTTTAAATTGCCAAAACTCTAATCATTTCTCACATCTTCTTTATCAGGTTTCCTGTTGAAATGTAAGCTTCTCAAACCCCCTAAAGAATGGCATTATTTTCATGATCAGCCATACTGGGAGGTAAGATATTAAACATGATAAATGTTACAGTGATACCATTAGATCAGTATTGCCTGATTTTGCAGCTTGCTAATGTAAAATGTTGAAAGGGAGAATGTAAGCTTAGCTTTCATTATCTGTCCATGTTACCTCCTGTAAACTAGGCATATCTAAATCAAAGCATGTTACAGGTCATTTGTCCATCTGCTGCCCTCATATACTTGACTACATTTAACAGAAATCCATCACCAGACATATTAACCTACATCATAAATACTTTAAGGGTTGCATAATGTATATGCTAGAGAACAGATATAAAGGTAGAAACATACACAGTTGTGAGAATAAGTTTGGGCTCTAGTCTACACATGCCGCAGGCTTTCCTGTACCACTCCACAGGTGCACGGGCATCCTGGTTCTCCGTACACTCTGCCCAAGTCCTCTGGGCAGAGTCTATTCATTGGTGTTCTGTCTCTGCACACACAACCATCTTCACTGCCTTGCAGATTGCTCCTCCTGCACATTGCCTGGCTCTGCATACACCCCTTCTTCACATATATAGAAGAACTAGGTAGCTACAATGAGGAAATTTCAAGGGAATGTGCATAGAAGGTAACATTCACCTTTTTTCACATAGTGTGAATGTTGCAGTAAAACCCTTTCCTATTGAAAACCAGATGTTGTCATCCCTCAGGGAGAATTTATTTTTACTGGGCGAATCTGGAGTAAATTTCCACTGATTTAGTTTAATATAGTGTGAATCTTCACTAAATAATTTAGGGCAAATTGCAAGCAGAATGACCATCATTTTATTGATAAATATACACCTAATTGTATTGAGACCTGCCATCAAATCAAAGCCCTATTTGCCGCCATGAACAAAGTATAACATGTTAGGGTACTCTGCTAAGGCAAAAAATATATTTGGTGAAACAAAAAAATGGTTCTGCAATAGCAAAGGCTGTGGGGCCGAAGTGATTACAATCATCTCAGCACCATGGATAATGTGAATATGTTGTATGTAAGCGAACACCCCATGGTTTATTTTTATACAAGCATAAACTATATTGTTCCAATTCTAATACATGTGTCTTTGCTTTTTCTTGCAGTTTGCTCACGTGGAGTACCATCTTTAGCATCGAAAGACAGCATATGGATACAAAGCTGTTTTGTTTTTGTTTTTAATTTCAAAGCTGTCTGAAACCTTTAGCTATGTCCCACTGGCTGTAAAAATGGACAGCTGAATGTCTCCTTGTTGTTACTACAAATTAAAGCGGAACTCCAGGCAAGCATATATTAGAGCTAGGACCGTTATTGCAGCAGTAGCTGCCCAGAGTGAAAACAGACCCCAAGCCTGATGATCCCTCTGTACAGTACACTCTCTTCTCCTGCCCATGTTCCCTGTGAGTACGTCTACATGAAGCACACCTAGTTGGCATCCAATGTTGCCACTCCCTCTGCCAGTTTCAGTGCTGCTGTGCATGGATTACAGGATGGTAATTTAACAACAAATTAGGATACTTACAAAGTTGTATTTAAAAACATGTTTAATGGCATAAGTAGAGAAATTAGTGGGGGGTTTTCTGCCTGGAGAGCGACTTTAAGTTTAAACATGTTAACTATGTTTTATTTTATTTGAGCTTTTCAGAGTTATTTCTGAATTAAAATCAAACTGTGTATGTTTGTGTGTGTGTTTATTAGGGGCACAGCAGGGCTCTTACCCTGAGCCTATGCCCCCAAACAGGAACTTCAGTTTCAGCTTTGAGTATTAGGAAGTGCATGCTATAGATCCTTCTGTCTACATTTTCTTTTTTCTATTTTCTTTTTTGTTATTGTAACCATTTGCAATGACTTGCTATGTACAAAAGTCACAGCAGTGTTTCTGAAGCCCTACCATATATTGAATTTTATCACATTTTTAAAGCAAACCTGTCCAGAGAGAAATATGCAGGCAGTTACCCTGGATCAAGTGCATCAGAACATCCGATCTTCATACTAGTTCCAGGTCATTAACATAGCACTGAGGTAAGAGGGTCACCTTGACAGCCATGAGAAGGAGGAATTGTCCACGCCATGATTATTATTTTTATACAGCATTTATAAAGTGCAGCACTTAAGAAAAAAAGGAAGACAACAGAGTTACAAAACAAGAGACCAAGACCAGAGGGTTAAGAGGGCCCTGACAGTGAGAGCTTACAATATACAAAAATAGGTTTTCTTGCAGCACAGTGGCTCAGTAGTTAGCACTTCAACCTTGCAGCACTGGGGGTCCCTGATTCGTATCCCGGTCAGCACTCTTTCTCCCAGGAGTTAGCATGTTCTACATGGGTTTCGTCACACATCCCACACCAAAGACATGCTGGCAGGTTCATTGGCCTTGTATGCGTGTGCAATAGGGACCTTAGATTGTAAGCTCCTCGAGGTCAGGGACTGATGTGAATGTGCTGCATAAATTGTTGGTGCTATATAAATACCTGTAATAAATAAATAAATAAAAACAAACATGTTATATCTATTCCATAAATGCAAAAAATACCTGTTGATCCTGCCAATAAGCCTCCAATTTCCTGTGCTCTCTGCCTCTGCTAACGGATAGCTCTATGGGCAATAGAATCCCTCTCCCCTATGTTATAGAGATGAGGATATGGGATATGTTCTGTAGCTCAACACACTTCTGTCTTAGGCCCGGTTCACACCTGGGCATTTTGTAACGCGTTCGTACGCTCTGCAAAACGCTCAAACACCGAAATCCCATTGTTTCCTATGGGTATGGTTCACACCTGGACGTATTACAGGCCGTCTGAACGCGTTACAAAACGGCCTACGCCCAAAGAAGTACAGGAGCTTCTTTGGGGCGTTTTGCCGCGCGTTGCCATTGGTATTCCCGAGTGTGGATCGGGATCTACAAAGCGGTAACCCCGAGCCACACTCGGGAATACAGCGTACAGGTCTTACCTTGTCCGCCATCCCAGCTGTTTCTTCGGCGGCTGCCGACTTCCGGGTTCCGTCCCTTGCGAGCGGCCACGTCGCAGGGGGGCGGAGCCGGCGGGAAGTTTAAAAGTGAAACTAAAAAAAAAATTTTTTTTTTTAAATAGAGAAAATAAAGAAAAAAAAATCATACCGCCAGTGAAACACGCGTTTCATTGAACGAAAAAAACTCGAAAAACGCTCAGGTGTGAACCCAGCCATAGGGCGACAGAACATACATACAGTTGTCACCCTAGGACAGGAAGTGTGCTACCTGCAGAATCAACAGCTGAAAATAAAACCCTAAAAAAGGAAACTATAGGAGCCACTAAATCTAAGGACTGGTAAGGTTTCCTTTTTGGGTTTAAATTCAGTTTGATTAATGCAGGTTCCATATTTCAAGATGTGCATTTGTGTTTAAGTTATCATTAAGAATCCATAAAGATTACTTTCATTTATATTCTGTTTTAAATTTTATAACATTGAAGGGGAGAGGGGTGAAGGGGACGGTAAGGGTGGGGTAGCTGTTACTTCTGGTTTAACCAAGGATGATATGGAGTGGTTGGAAGAGCAAATGAGGACCGTTAAAAAAAAGGGGGTTCTGTTATTTCAAATTCTGTGGTTTTGCCTTTGTCAAATCGGTTTGGGGTCCTCTCTGATGTTGATGAAGGGGGAGGCTTTAAGTAAAGCATCACTTTCTTCTATGGAAGGTGAATCTCAGGGTGCACTGAAGCGCACTGGTTCTCCAGGGAAAGATGGTAGTCAGGCTAAGAAACGGCTGCCTCAATTACCCTAATGACAGTTCCCACTCCCTTAAAAGTGGCAACCACTAATATTGCCAGCTTAAAAATCAGTGCCCGTCCTATGGCCTTATTTTTGCTCAGCAAGTTTGATGTTGACATTTTGTTTTTGCAAGAGACCCATCTGAGTAGTATGGCTGATATACATCTGGCAAAGAAGGAGTGGAGACCTGGCCCCTCCTTTTGGTCTCTTGCGGCCGAGCCTTACAGCGGAGTTGCGGTCCTTTTTTCCAGTATGGTATTCTCGGCAGCGGAGGACGGAACCCAAGGAGAGAGGTAAGTGCAGGGGGGAGGGGGAGAAAGCTGCACACTGTTTACATGTGAAATCGTCTGCCTCACTCTACATTCAGTCCTGCTTGTACAAAGCAGGACTGAATGTAGAGAGGGCAACTTCCCCACAAGGACACCGCTGCCGCCCCTCTGCGCCCTGCCGCCCCAAGGCCGGGCCTCGGTGGCCTTGTGGGGAATCCGGGCCTGGGTATCGTGCCGACAGGTAAGTGAGGTAGATATTGGGAGATGCACGGTCTTGGCCGTCTCTGTGGGGGGGAATAGGGGGGCAGGACCTGCGCCTTATTAACATCTATGCTCTCCAGACAAAATGGGACAGGAAATGCCTCTTTACAAGGATTAAACCTTTTATTTTTACGGCCCAGCAGGTTATCTTTGGAGGTGATTTCAACACCTTTACTAGGTCTAAAGACAGGAGAGGTTTCAAAGATAAGTTAGGGAAGCAGGTCTGTCACATATGGATCGGAGGGAGATCAGCAGGCTTCCAGTCGCTGATCTCTCCTCCGATCACTGGACCCGGAAGTGATGTGCATTACATTTGCGCAAATACCGTGCAACATAAAAAACTGCAACTCAATCTTTTTATTCTACAGGGCCTCTGCTTTTAGAAAATATATAATTGTTTGGGGGTCTGAAGCTGTTTTCTAGCCAAAAATTCAGATTTTATCATGTGTGTGCAAATAGTAAGAAATTGCTCTGGGCAGCAAGTGGTTATGCACTGCCCAGACAGCACGGGGGTTCACTGTTCAGCGAGGTAGTAGTCAGAGTTGGATGGATAGGTTTTTTTTAAAGGGAGACTCTACTTTTTCGGCCCCTGTGTGTTGGGCAGTGGAGTTTTCGGATCACTGTATTCTATCTGTGACTCTGAATGCCTCAGACACAACACCTACGAGGGGTATCTGGAGATTAAATTCGGCCCTCCTGGATGACGAGAAAGTAAGACAATCCTTTGAGGAATTTTTTCAAGCACAGATAACTATTTTAGACTTTTGCAACAGTAGGTCAGAATGGTGAGAGCTTTCAAAACAGCAGACTGTCAGGCTTTTTAAGGCCATAGGAAGAAAGAAGCAGCAAGATAAGTATGTGACCTACCAGCTTTTGCGGAGGAAACGTGCCCGCCTTGTTTAGAATGGAGGAGTTTCTGGGGTGATCTCTGAGGTGGAGATCCTCCTTAGGAGATATCAACATGACTGGCACGCCTCTTTGGTTCAGGAAAGGGACTACAGGAAATACCATTCACTGACCCTTACCAGAACTGTAAACAGAGTGTAGCAGTTAAGAGATCAATGGCCTGAAGGACAGTACGGGCTCTCTGACGAAGTCTAGGTCAGGGATCCTGGAGGTCGTCAGGTCATTTAATGCTGATCTCCTGGGAGGAAGGAGCCATGATCGGGCAAGGATGTTGAGTTTTTTGGACTCTACAGCAGGTCTGGAAAGTAATGTTCCTTTAATGAATTTGACAGATTTAAATTACTGCAGATCAGGTGATCCAGGCTATTGATAAATTAGCCATTATGAAAATGCCAGGGCCAGATGGTTTGACAGCCAAATTTTATAAATGTTTTAAGATGATCCTGGCTCCCTACCTTGAGGAGATTTTTAGTGGCTGTTTCCATGAGGGTTCTCTCCCTCCCCTCATGAGGCAATCTGCAGTGATTCTTCTGTCAAAGGGTAAAGATCCTTCGATGATTGAGAATTGGCACCCCATTACCCTTCTTTTTTTTTTGTCAAATTATTTTTATTAAAGGAGAACTATGAGATGAGTGATTTCCACTCACCTCATAGTTCTAGCCGACCTGTGACAATGAGACTGTCACAGGTCGGCTCAGTAGATCGGGAGGTGAGCGAACACATACCGGGTTCGCTCACCTCTCGCAGAGAGCCGTGACAGGTGGAGGGGCTTATTCCCCTTTCCCCCGCTCCCATCTGCCAGCGCTGACTGGTGGAACGGACGGGGGCGGGTACAGCTGGCTCTGCCTCTAGATAGGCAGAGCCAGCTGTCACTCACGCAGCTGGGCGGATCTCGACGTCGATGTCGGGATCCGCTCCGGCGTCTCAGTATACCGCGAGCTGTAGCTCGCGGTATACTGAGCTTAGGTTAACG